ACACGCATGCGCTTTAGTTATTATTCAAAGGATTTCTTCAACAACCACACAAATCCTCTCCGGTAAGCCGTCACTGAGAAGGATAATAATAAAAAACAAAGCAAATTAGCCTCCTTTCCACACCTTTTGTTCTGAAATGCTGCGCTGCGGTTGTGGCACGGCTGTTATCGAGTGCTCAGACGAAGGAGAAGAACAAGAGTGTAAACACTCAGCTGTGATTAGTGAAGATGCTCGTCCTCCAGAAACAAAGCAGCTTGGACTGATGCACAGATCCGGTTCAGTCGGACTGCTCTCCCACACATCACACCTTGCCTTGCAGCTCGACTCTCCCTGATATGAAGCCTAGACTCACTGCTATTTACAGTTTCTGCCTATTGCTTGAACACTATAGACACATGCTTAGACCAAAGTAACAAAACTTGAAGCTTTTGTTACTATACCTTAAACACAGTGTAACCATACCTTAAACAAAAGCGCTGCTTTGCACTTCAGTTGCAATTCTGCAACACACTTGCTCCTGCACAATACACACTATTTCATACATAAGACACTTCGTTCATAAATGAAATCTCATGGGTACCATTGGGAAAACACATCTATTCAAAATACAAAACACATTGGGTGATTGAAAACACTTAGACACACACCTGAAAACACTTACTTACAAAACTGATCACCAATCAGCCAACCACATGCCCGCATGCCTCGTCTACAGGCAATGGAAGAGGCATGCGGAGACATTGAGGTAACGTCAATCCATGGATGGATTCGGCACACAAGGCGTTATTTTCCCCGTTGCTTAGCAGGAGAAAATATCGCTTGTGACGTTGATGAGATCCTGTGGCCAGACCCAAACAGACGGCAGGATCTGTAATCCCACCCACGCACAATTGGCCTGTTTTTCTGTATTTACAGTAGTGTATTTTGTGTTTTATTTTTGCATTTACTGTACTGTAAAGTATAGTACTGTGATGTGCAGTATTGAGTTGATATCATTTGTAACCTTTCAGTACTTTCATTTTTGGTTGTTGTGAAAACCTTTGTTGGAAAAAAACTGAACAAAAACTGTAAGTTTTGCATTGAGCTTCACAGAATGCTAACTGATGAACTGAATAAAAACAGTGAAAATTAAAGACTGCAGTGTTTTATATAAAGTACACTAGTGTGTTGCTGCTAATCTGAAAGTGTATTCATATGATGCAAGTGTGTATCATTTTGTCATCAGAGTGACATTTTGACAAAGGATTGTTAGGTTTTGATAGCAGAGTTTCAACTCGACATAGATGTGAATGGTTTATTTCCCAGTGTTGTGTCTTGTGTGCTTGTGTGTAAAGTTTTGACACAATGAGCCGAAGTTTTGCAAAAAGTGTTCAAGCAATAGGCAAAAACTGTAATGCAGCTCTCGTCCCGGGGACCATCGGATCACAGACTGCCATTTCTTACATAAAACATCCCCAGATTTGGGAAAGTTGCAGCTTGGGTGCAGGTAAGCGGCGGAGATGCAGAGGCTTGGGGAAGCTCAAGACTACAGATCCTCTGGGAAATCAAGACTTGGAGGAAGGCAAAAATCCCCAGCTCTAAGCACTGAGATCTGAAGTTTTGGGCCACCTGCGGTAAACGGCGGTCCATTCTGAGGCCTGATTAGAAAGAGCCGTGAAAGACCTCATTTGTCTCGTTACATGGTGCTGAGAATCTCTCCTGTAATGAGATCGCGCTCCGAGCGTTCGCTGTGTGAGGTCTACGTCTTCATTCATCTTCTGACGCTGAATTGTGCAGCACAGATCTGTTCTTCACAAAAATTGTTCTGGGAACAATAAATATTTGACATGGTTTCCAACAGGCTTTAGGACCCTTGGAGATCTTGTAAAAGCGCTCATCAGTGATTTGAGGCCACGGCGGCTGATCGAGAGCAGTGTGGGTGATGAGTGTGTGCGGGGCTCGCCAATGTACGACGATTTTAGATCTTACGAGATGTTTTAGTGCATCTGAAAAATGCTATCTATTGATTCAGAGAAACAGGAACATTACTGCTGCAAGCTATTAAGACATGTCCACAGGCTCAGATTCTGGCTATCAAAAGCACATTGGCACAATCATATCCTCTATGAGTAAAGAATGATTTACTGTCCTTCACATCAATGAGTAGCTCATTCAAGACGTGATGTGTAGCTATTGTGAATCTCATCTGCCAACAGAAAGGCCACTGTGACCCTGCGATGCAGTCGATGATAAAGCCTGAGAGTTTCGCTTCTCTCACACAAAACATCAAGCTGCGATTAAACTCAGGTAAAGAAATCACAGAACATCTTCTCCACAGCACCAGAGAGGACGAGAGCCTCTCCTGCTGGTTTCAGGGGACAGTTTTATTGCTGCTTTTACTGTATGTTCATCTACATCTTCTCACAACATTTGCCTTGATTTTTGCCATTTTAATATTGCTGTCGGGAAAAGCTAAACATCTTTGGCCACGGGTCACTTTCTTTCAGCCAGATGTTCTTGTATTTCTTCTATAAACAGTTCAGAAAAATGCAAGCTTTTGTCCACTAGGACATAATTATTTCCAACACCTAGTACGCTTATGGCATCTTCGCTCATTTCTGGAAGAATATCTCCACAGTGTGCTTTCACTTCTCACATCAATCACATGAATGTCTGAATGAATGAATGAATGAATGCATGTCTGCAGATCTTCAGCGCCATCTGCCGGTCAGATCGTGTTAGTAACTTCTTTCTTTTCTAGAATATATAACCTAGTCTCTTGTCAGTATTCACTCATTTCATAGCAAGCATCATAAACACTTGCGCTCAAATCATATATTCACACTCTTTAAAAGCACAGCTAGAATGACACTTTAATGAAATGTACCTTCATTTGTCTTCTCACATCGCTTTTCTTTTAATTCATTCCTCTTTCTCTGCCGTTTTCATTGGTAAAGAGCTCAAGTGTTTGTCGTGAGGGAAAGGACGGTAATCAAATGAAGGACTGTTGCAAATTTATGCAAAGTGGATAAATATGATTTTCCACACAAACATGTCACTTGATTATCATCAGATGGTTTGTTGTCTAGACTCCATCACCCCGGTGTTCGCGGGGAAACACTGGCTGCGCGTTTGAGCACCTCTGCGCAGGCGCACTCCGAGGGGCGTCCCGGTGACGTCACACGCAGGGCGGCGCTCCGAACAGGTGTGTTTATCTCACAGGTGCAAAGAAAAGTAAACGCCAGTGGAGAAGATCGAGTCCGTTTTGTGCCGCTGCTTCTTGCAGGCTCAGGGTTACAATGGCCCCAAGTGCATCTGGAGCTGCGCCGCGTTATTTGTCCTCGGGATCGCATTTGATGTCACCGGCTTTGCTTTGCTTTGCTTTGGGTCGGTATTTCTGGATGGCAGATTTTATGGAGACTTCCTAATCTATACCGACTCTTTAATAGTTGTTCTCAGTGTTTTTTGGTGGGTCATGTGGTACACCGGGAATTCCTCTGAGGATCTGGAGAAGAGGACTTGTGATAACTGCGCGCTGCTCTCGGAGCGACTGAACACTGACCCGCAAGCACACGTTCATAACACTATATTACAAAAAGCGTTCAGAAACATATGCTCTGGTCTACCGCGGACACGCAACACTTAGCACTGACATTATTGATTTAAACAGAGGCAAGAAAAAAAGTAAAGACTGACAGTTACGTGAAGGCGTCAACAGCTCGATATTTCGACCATCTTTTGAAATTCTGATAATTTTATACTCCTGTAATTTTATCTAACCGTATGGAGTGTTTTGTAGTGAGTCAAACCACCACAAATTATGTTATAAAGCAGGGATGCCCACACTCGGTCCTGGAGGGCAGGTGTCCTGCAGAGTTTAGCTCCAACCCTAATCAAACACACCTGAAGCAGCTAATCAAGGTCTTACTTGGCATACTAGAAACTTCCATGCAGGTGTGTTGAGGCAAGCTGGACACCGGCCCTCCAGGACCCAGTTTGGGCAGCCCTGTTATAAAGCATCTGAAACCTCAGTCCTACAGACATCTGTCCAGGAGTCCTTTATGTGCAGCTTTGGTTTGATAGTCAGAGATTATAAAAGACTAACAAAACCGAAAGTCAATCGAACTCATTTACCAACTTTTTACCTTTTCAGTTTTCTTCATAATTTGTCAAGTGTGTCAGCTGTTCAACCAGCACTAAAAGCCCTGTTTGTGAGGAGCCTGCTCCATCAGCATGTGTCTGGAGCTGTTCTGTGAAGAGTTTCTGAAACTCAGTGCTGTTCTTCTCAGCTGTTCATCACAGTGCAAGACCAGGAACACAGAAGCAGCTTTAACCTTCTTAATTATGGACTGAGAAACTGTCATTAATCAGGGGATTTAGTTTTTTAATACGAGCACTTTACATGTGATTAATGTATTTGTACTTTTAACTTATACATACTGAAAGTTTCATTTCAGATGTTATGTTTATATGCGTTTCATTAAATTAAGAGTTTTCAGAAAATGATTCATTTGGCCAGTTACTTGTTTTAATATTTTACACCTTCTGGATGCCTCTCATTACTAATAATACATTTTATTTGATAGAGAGATAGAGGAAAGAGTTTATTGTTCTGAAGTGTCTGCATTGTGTAACCCTTTATTCTGTCTTTAGTACACTAATAAATCATCTGCAGTTGCGTAGGAACTATTTGAACTGTGTATTGAAACAAGTATCACAAATATTCCTCCGCAAACTTTTATTGGGATCAAAGTGTTTTCTGTTCGGAGCGCTTCAGGAACCAGTAAACGCTGAAGCGTCTCGCAGCTGTTCAGAGACACCGAGACAGACCGAAGACCTGCTCTGTGTGTTTACTGAAGCACAGCGCTGTAACATCACGATTACTAACCCAGGAAAACCTTCCAGACAAATACAAGAGTTTAAAGACACACCCTGCTATTGTGTGTCTGGATATTTGAGCCATTAAATGCTCCAGTGTTTCACCATCAGAGTAACCGGACGATAAGAGAGGAGTGTCCTGGCAGGCATTGCTGGAAGGACTGTTGTTTGATCGGGACACGCAGGTGAAAACTCCATCTTTAGTTATTAGTAACGGTGAGGTAATCGTGCTGAAATATCTCTGGATGCTGAAAGGTTTCTGCCAGCATGGAAATGCATGACAAATTAGGGCTCCTATTATTAATTCATTAACGCTGTCAAGAAATCAGAAAGCCTGTGTAACAAGCAGAACAAGACACGTTTCCCATCAACACCCGCCGCGGAAGAATCATGCTTCTTCTGATTTAAGAATCCTTTAATGAGGAAGCGTTATCTTTGAAGAAATACTGGCTACAGAAATCACACGTCATTATATGTGATAACTGATGAGAAACTCCTGGTACTTTAGAAATGTAAAGACAGACCAAAATCTGCTGCTAAAAAGAGACTCTGTGAGCAACAATTAATGTTTCCACGTAAACATGACAATGAAAAGTGCCGCAGTTGCTGTAGTTTCTGTCAACAAACTAACTGAAGAATCTTTATTTGTAAATCATCGTGCTTTGTCTCCTAACGATAAGTAATCAGCAGCAACCGGACGAGAAAATGTCGTGTATTACACAATAAATCATTCATATCCTTCATGACCTTCACCGAAGCCTTCCACAGCAATGGACGGGCGATTGTTGTGCTACTACTGATGAAGAATGCCAGGCGGTTTCTCTAACAGAGGAGATGGACACTGTGACGACAGCATTTCTATCATCTACACCACACAATCATCTCCAGTCACACAAATACAGAACAGAAATTATGGAGTTTTTCATTTCATTTATAAAAAATGCATATACCCACTGAAGCTGAACAACATCTACCACTTATTTTTCCTTGTGGATCACGTACTATCTGTGAGACTCTTTCAGTTGTTTGAACAGAATAAAATAATATTAACAGGCAAAGAGACAACTTCAACACAAAGATAACGAACACAGCCAAAGACATCTGGAATATAAAAGCAAAAACAACGGGGAGGAAAGGAGATGTCAGAAACAAAAGGTAAGTGCAGTAACGATCCAAACTGTATAAAATATTATTTTGCTTTTTTTTTTTCTCTTTCATCTTCTGCAGTCAGGGAACGAGTCAGATACAGCACATTTTCTCAACACATTCATGCAAGCTGATATATTTTAATAAAGTACAAATGGAAATATATCTATCTCATAGGTTATTGGTTAAAATATGAAAAAGAAGAGGATGCAAGTAAACATCGTTTTGATTTGATGTAATGGCAAATAACTCAAACCCTCAATAGTGTTTCTTTTTTTTTCTGAAAATAATAAAAATAATAATAAAATAAAATAAAAATGAAGAAACTACATTCAATTCCATGACCACGAGTCCACGTCTTTAAAAATTAAAATAAAATGGAAAAAGGCCAAGTGACCTCCCATCAGCACTGCCTGTTTAGTGGAGTATTTGTGCCACAAATAAGATCCTAAAGTAGAAGTACGAGAAAATACTGCCTCTCTACTCCAGACTGCATTAGGTAGGTGGACGTGGTCGCTAGCTGCCGTGATACAGGAACAAACCTCCCCACACTTCCCTCTGCCCACCAGAAATCGCTCGTTTCTCCACGCGTGAAGATGAAGCTGACATAAGGAGCGGGTTCACATTTTAAGAGCTGATCGGTGTTCAGTGATGTTTGGCCAGTCTTTTCAGTCGAATGCAGCTGTTCAAGACCTCTGATTGGGAACAGGGCCATCGCGAGCACACATCTCACACACATGCGTGACAATTACAGTAATATTCATATTGGTCACTGGCCGGTCGTTTGTTCAGAAACACAAAGGAGGTTCGTCCCAGAGCTCACAGACGGAGACCTTCTCTGCTGGGTTACACCCGCAAACCGTCCACAACACACTCTCTTCATGACTTCAGGTAGGCTATATTAATATAGGTGTGTGCATATATCTGAGAATTTACCTATTCATGTAAAGGCCCACTGTCCCTCCTTCTCTCGTGTTTCTCTCGATTCTAATCGCTCCTTCTCTCCAACATCCACTGACTTTCATCTCAGCTCACTATCTGGCACCTGGGATTCATAAACAGGTGAAGGGGCTGCAGCAGGTGCGTGGCAGGCGGGGAGAAACAGAACATGGGTTGAGGTCAAAGGTCGTGACACGGCTGCCCTAGTCAGTGGCGCTGTGCTGGTGTCTCTCGGCGGTGAAGGGGACGGCTCCGTCTTCAGTCTTGGCTCTTTTGGTGTTGGGCTCCGCTGGGTCTGGGTTCTGGCGTTTGGTCGGGAGAGACGCTGAGACCGAGGCGTGGGTCGCCAGCATGTGCAGAGGACTCGCTGGAAAACACCAGACGGATCACGTTACACACGCTAAAGCAACGCTCGGGGGGCAAACTCTGTCACTAGAACATGTCATACATTCCCTCAGTTTGTAAAAACACAAATGTGCTGAGTGTGGAAGTCTGTGCTATTATAAACTCATAACCATCTAGAGGAGTGTGGACCAGAAGCCTGACAGCACCAGTGAAAAAGCAGCTTTATTCATGTGCAAACTGTCCTGACTGCCCTAACCCTAACCTAACTGTAATCTTTCCCAACCTTTCTTTAGTCGCGGCACCCTTTGGAAATTTTAACAAATTTGTGGCACCCTACAAATTTAATTGTCACGATATTTGATTTTCTAACTTCGATATGATAATTTGAAAAGTATAGATATTCGGTACAACAGGGAAGAACTGCAGAATATAATGTCATA